TTGAGTACTTGTAGCAAATTGCTAACACAGTCAATCATAGATTTTGTTCTTCAGACTTCCTGCTGTTTTTCAAAGGGAGATACAAACTTTTTATGTTCCTGTTTCTGTATAACCAGCTAAAACTGCCATTTAATTTCATGATTCAAAATAGAACCTGCACTGTCACTCTCAAGCTAGTCTGTGTATCGCACTGGCCTCACCAAAAGTTAGAGAACTCATTAAGCAAAATAAGGAATTGCAAAAAGTGAAAAACTGCTTTCACTTAAAAAAAAAAAAAAGGCAAGCAATTCCAATTGATCCCTACTTCTCTTTCTTGGAGCCTTGGCTTAAAGTTACCACATCAGAAATAATATTTGCATGAATATAATTGATTGTTGCTTTTGTGTTGAATTGCAACGTCTCAGTTGAAGAGAGCTATAAAATACAGTGGCATCATTTTCAGCTCTTGGAGCTTTGAGCTGAAATACAGACACACCAACTACAAGAAACAAATGAAAGCTGTCACCAGTGTCAGTAGCAAAAACCGGGGGTCCATCCACACAAATTATGGACATCTGTATTCCTAATTGGCATCATTTCAGGCTGTGCCAGCAGAATGGTGGTGCCAAGAGAGTCTGACAGCTTTAGAAAATACTAGGTATCAGGTTTAGGTGATAGGAGACACTGATGAGGCATAGAAGTTCTTTTGTTTGGAATACTCTCCATATGTTTGTTATAAGACTGGTGATTATTAGTTTCAGGTACCTCCACATGGCACCCCTTGTCAATACTAAATTTGCTGGCTACTTCTTAAAACAGATCAGCTTATGATCCTAGGAGAACAAGTGGTATTGATGGTTATATGATCAGGAGATCGTTGGCAAAGATGCCTACAAATAGTTAACAAGGTAATGGTAAGAAATGTTGACCTTGATTTGTTTAGCTAAGATGTAAAGATTTTTGAAGGTCAAAGGTGTCCTTGTGTAGTGTTTTGGAGTCTAACTGTGTCTGACCCTCTAACATTAAGCTGCTGTGGCCTGCAGTTTTCAAGAGTGAAGCAAACCAGGGGAAAAGAGAGAAGGGGGAGAGAACAGGAAATGGAGTGAGGTGTTTCAGGAAGTTGTCAGGGGTTGACTGATTGATTCCAGATGGAAAAGGTCAGCCTTCGTGACCCAGGAAATACTCACTACGGAAAGAAGTTGGCTTGTGGAAGGGGAAGGCCTGGGAGTGAGCCGAGGCTGGAATGCACTTTCCACTTCCTTTAGTCTTCAAACATTCAGAAACTTTAACTTCTCCAAAGAGAATAATATCAGTGTTGTCATCATTCATCAGAAAACAGTGAAGGAAGTTAAATTTGGAGCTTTGAATGTACCAAATGTATCTTCACCTCCATAATGTCCTTCATTCTTCCAGAAGTAGAGTGCATGAATGTAAAAGTCCACGTTTGTGTGTACTCCATGTACGAGAACAACAACCAAACTTGTTTGGTTTCACGTGGTGGAGTTTGTGAATTAAATCCTTTCCACTTTGCAAATTTGGTTTAATTGGCAAGCTCTTCTAGATACTTGAGAGTCTAAGATATTTGGAATATTAAAAACGGGAACTTGTCTCGTATCTATATATATACATGCACATACATTTGGACATAATTTAAAATCTTGTAATAAATTTTGCAGACACTGAAATAATTCAGGTTAATTCCCTTGCTGTCATGAGAGGCCAGCGCTAGCCAGCAAGAGATTAAAATTTATTTCCATTGTTAATAGAAAATAATGAAGTGCATCTGAACCATCAGGGTATGTCATTTGGGAAATGTTCACTTTGGAACTGACTCTCACTCCACCCGAATGGACAATGATGAAATCAGCTGGCTTGAGAAAACCCCATATTTTGTGGCAGGGATGCACGAGGAGCACTAACGCACAGTATGACAAGAAGCTTGTGGAATGAATTAAAGTGGTCTCAAAGAGAATGCTCTTTACATCCATGTAGGCCCCAGGCAGGCGGGTTCCCCTCACTGTGCTGAGTACAGCTCATTGGCAATTAAAGCCTGAAGCACCCTCTCATTTTTTTTCCCCAAGAGATGACAGCTAGGTCTTTGAAAATTCATTCACACACACAATTTACCAAAGCGGCCTGATTCCTCTTTTTTCTCCACTTCTATTATTTTCAGGGGTAAATGCTTTCAACTTCATGTTCCTCTTAACCCCATGGCCAGGAGACAGCCTCCCTCTTCCTTTGACTATGATGCCATCCTGTTCTCTGCGAGATGGCCCTGACAAGGGCTTGTGACTCACACATTTACCCAGAGTGATGGATGTCTCCCTCTTATGGTGGCCGCTACATGATAGGAACTTTCTGGAAGGACTTCCTCCAGACTTTTAACAGGTTAACATGAACACAATTGAAAACAGACCCAGAGCTAGACAGGCTGTATCCCTCAATTGTGAGCAATTATATTGATAATAATTTTCTGAAAGGCAACTGGAGAAATATTATGCTGTGTTTTGTACTAGTCAGATCATTGGTTAAAATCCTAGAATCTGGCATGACAATACTGTAGACTTAGCAGGAGTTCAATGAATACCTTTGGGTTGAATGATTGAAGCCCACTCATGTCCAAGTATGATTTCCTGTGTGCTACAGTCATGCCTATGGCACCAGGCTATGTGAGATATTCTGTGGACTCATGGTTTTAGGGGTTTTCCCAAACCTCCATTATATTAAAGTATACATTAAAAGATTTAAAGGATACCATCTAAAACTTTGCAAGTAAAAAAAAATCAGAAGAGTGTTGCCTCAGGAAGTAGGATTGAATAAGATAACTTTGTAAGGTAATGGAAGTATTCTAAATCGTGATATGGTGAGTCTTACCTGAATGTATCCATTTGTCAAAATTGTGCAGCTAAGATTTGTGCATTTCAATGCCTGTAAATTTCACCTAAAAGTGGAAATTCATTATACTATTCTGTTCATTTTGTTTACTTGAAATTATTCATAGTAAAAAATTTTAAGTGACATTTAATGAATCTTATTTCATATGAGGAGCTAAGGTAGGGTCAAGGTTTTATTCCCCTTCACTTAATAAGTTAGGAAGGGGTGGCAGAAAAAATTAAAGAAGAATATCAAAAAATTTAACCCTTTTAAGTATACTTTAATATTAAGTATACTTTAATATAATGGAGTATTTGACAGGGAGAGTCATTTTCAAGTAGAGCTCGTCATTATGTACCTATTCATTGCCCTTCCTTGAAAAGTCTATATGTATGCATGTATGCCCTGGCCGGGTGGCTCAGTTGGGAGCATTGTCCTGTATACCAAAAGGGTTGCAGGTTCAATTCCCACTCAAGGCACATACCTGGGTTGAGGTTTGATCCCTGGTCAGGTTGTGTATGGGAGGCAACTAATCAATGTTACTCTCATCTCTCCCTCTCCCTCTCCCTCTCGCTCTCCCTCTCCCTCTCCCTCTCCCTCTCTCTCTAAAAAGCAATAAACCTGTATCCTCAGGTGAGGGTTAAAAAAGTGTATACACATGCATGAATATGTATATAATAAGTTGTTTTCTTAAAAATATTTCCATGCATAACTGACAAGTAGACTCATATCTAGGATAGTTCATCTTCCTGGATCAAGCATGTTGGTGGAAGGTACGTTCGAGTCTGCTCTATTCTGCTACACTTTCCCTGCTACTCTGGCCTTGGCTAATCTCTGCCTCTTTGAACTTTTTGCACACTCCTGATCTGCAGCTCACACATAGAATTCAATGGAATCTTATTCCTTGTGCTACTTGCTTTATGTTAGCCATGTATCTCCAGCTTGAATATAAGGTCTTTGAGGGCGGGGTCATGACTGGTAACTTTTGGGTCTCTAGCCCCTGTGTTCCCCTTTCTAGAACCTCCCCCAGAGCATACCAGTGGTTCTCAACCTTCCTAATGCCATGACCTTTTAATACAGTTCCTCATGTTGTGGTGACCCCCAGCCATAAAATTATTTTCATTGCTACTTCATAACTATAATTTTGCTACTGTTATGAATCGTAATGTAAATATCTGATATGCAGGATGTATTTTCATTGTTCGCGACCCACAGGTTGGGAACCGCTGGTAAACTATGGGAGAGGCTCAGTGAGTAATGTTGTCTGTCCTATTAACTAATCAAACAAGGCAGACGTGAGGCTATTAGGAGGGGAATTCATTGAGGCCCCACACTGAAAGCTTTACATGTATTTACCCTTATTTTGTCTCATTCAGCCCTTGAGAGAGAGGCATTGTTTATGTTTTACAGAAAAGAAAAATGGACATTTATAAAGGTTGGTGATTTGTCCAAGGTTACAAGTTAGGAAGCGACAGGCGTGGGATTTGAGTTCAGTTTCATCTGACTGCAAATCCATGCTCTTTCACTCTTCCATACCCAACTCTTCCCTTTCCTCTGGTTAGATACTGAATGCTCTACATTCTCAACACTGAATTCCAGCAATCTGACCTTCTTGCCTAAAGCCTGAGCATCTCTGCCACTGCTCTCTAGTGGGCAGGGACACCACAAACAAGTCATCAGTAGCATCTCCATGCCAGCCTTACGCTAGCACATGTCAGAGGTGCAAGGACCCATTCCTGTTCTGGGAGAAAGGACCTCCCAGCTGGTGCTCAGTTCTTAGCCTCCTGATCACACACAGTCAGTCCCTTGTTGCAACGGTCAGCTGGGAATGAGTGTCCAGGTCCTTTGCTAGAGAACTACATTTCTAGAAGTAGCAGGCACAAGCCCAATTTCCCCATTTCATCATCTGAGCATAGTCTGAACACAAATATGTAATAGCACATGGATGAAGGGCAGTCTCTTTTTCCATGAAGCTCTTCCCATAATTATAAGAGGAGGTGAAATGTCAAGAGCATGGCCCTGTCCCCAAATTTTGTTCCATTTCTTGTCAGCTATATGGAAATCTGGCAAACAGAATTCTGGTACATTTACTACCTTATATGAAACTAAGTCCACCCTCCTTTTTTTTTTTTACTTTAAATATGCAGGTTGTGTTATCAACAACAGTGAATGTGGATGGACATGTGTTGGCTGTTTCCGACAACATGTTTGTTCATAACAACTCAAAGCATGGGCGGAGAGCGAGAAGACTGGACCCTTCGGAAGGTAGGGCTGTCTGCGGGCAGGGCGAGAATGGCAGACAAATTTAAGTTCTCCACAATTTCCTTGTTTGAATTTCAAATTTATGCTTCTGAGTAGGAGTGGAGAAAGTACACAAGACCATGTGGGTTTTAAAGTGAAGCTGTAAACACTGACTCCCGCATACTGCATTATAACCCTACACATCTCCCCACGATGTTTAAAGACTCCATGCCTGAATCTGTTCCATTCAGTTGTGTTTTTCTTTTTGCTAGGCAGGTATTTCAGGCAAATGTAGGCCTATGACATCTTAGTTAAACAGGAACATTATAGTGCCAGACATGTATGAATAAGTGTCAGATGTGCCCTTAAACAGATTGTGGGCAAAACAAAACAATGTGCAGAATGAAACTGACACTAATTGATTTTTGTTTGCTTGGACTAGAAGAAATCATGGTCTGCTCTGGGTAGTTTTCCAAGTGCATTAAAGTAATTAGAAATACAGGTAACTGTTAAACTTCAACTTGTCTGAAAAATTTAAGTATATTGAGGAAGATAACTGACAAACCTAAGTAAAGCCCATCTGAGTTCTTCTCTTTCCTTGCCCACTCCCCACTCCTTGGAGTAGGAGGTTATGGACTATATGAATGGTGAAATTAGGGACTATTTTAGTGTGATGCTTGGCTGTATACTGCTCACCAGCCCCCCACCCCAACTCAGCCTTTAAAATGTGTCTTGTATCATTTAAAATAGGAATTAATGAACTGAAAGAAAATGATTGAATCAGTAAAGAATTTGGAGTGGTGTTAATTCTCCCACAGTGGGCACTGAAGGGGAGACGAAAACCCCAGGGTTCAGAACTAGGAACCCATCCAGTTTCTTTTGACTGATTGGATGTGATTGACTGGCTGTTCAAAGGGGGCTCATGTTTTTGGAATCCTGCCAAAGTTCTCTCCCACCTTTGACCCTGTCAGCTTTGGAAATGGAGTGATGGATTGACTTTAGTTATGGCCTGAAAACCATATTGGGTTCCTGTTGGGATGTAAAGTCCAGAGGCCTCAAACATATGGAAGAAGGGGGGGGAATCCTTCCTACAAAGTTAGGAAAGTGATTAGAAATTGTCTCTTGATAGAGCAGAAAAAGCCTTCACCTATGACAGATTTTACTTTCTCCTTCTCTCTCTGGCACATTAGCAGGCCTTGTAAATCTTGACATCTTAGTGCAGAGGAGGTGGAGAGAGAAAAGGGATTTACACGTTTCCAGTGTGGTCAACTTATAAAAATATGGGGGGGAAGAACAAGTTCTAAAAACACCCTTTGCACAATTAGCTAAGTGTTCCATGTTTTCATACCTAGTGGTCAAATCATTAGGCTTTAATGACCTGGTGAAAACCAACAACCAATTAAGGAATGATGGCAAGTCAGCAGAGCTCAACTTGAACTTCTTGGAATGATCAACAGCCTTTAAGAGCAGTCAGTTCCCCAAACTCCAAACTTCAGCCACCAAAGGGCAGACCTGACTTTTCTTTTCTATCTTTTTAGCTACCCCCTGCATCAAAGCCATTAGCCCAAGTGAAGGCTGGACCACAGGAGGAGCCATGGTCATCATCATTGGGGACAACTTCTTTGATGGCCTCCAAGTGGTGTTTGGGACTATGCTTGTATGGAGCGAGGTAGGCAGGGGCAACTTGCTTTCCTGATTTTCTTTGGCCCAAAGATTGTTTTGCTCTGAGTTTGAAACTAGTGATTCCTGTAGTATCAGCAGCATGAATGCACACTATTAAGTACCAAAGATTAGCCACATGTAAACCACAATTTATTGTAGGCGTGGATAACTTAAAAATAGAAATATTCATTGCAGTATTAATTAAAATTTTGAAAAAAATAAGAATAGTCATATTGGGCAAATAAATGATGGGATATTATTTTAAAAATGTGGGGTTGTTGTTTTTTTTTTGCCCTAGCCAGTTTGGCTCAGTGGATAGATAGTTGGCCTATGGACTGAAGGGTACTGGATGTGATTCTGGTCAAGGGCACGTGCCTGGGTTGTGGGCTCAATCCACAGTAGGAGGCATGCGAGAGGCAGCCTCTCATCATTGATGTTTCTATCTCTCTCTCTCTCCCTCTCCCTCTCTAAAATCAATAAAAATGTATTTTAAAAAATTGTGTTTTGAAAAAATTCTAATGACCAGGAGAAGGGTGCATGTTTATGCTGTGATGCTAACTGGAATAAAAAATCAGGACAACATTGTCTGAGGATGTAAAGGTCGAATTACGTAACATCCATCCATAGAAAAGTACTGGAAACACACCAAAGATTAACAACAGTTGTCTCAGGTTATGCAATGTTAATATTTTTCCTTATATTTTTCTGTAATTTCTAAAGTTTCTAAAGTTCTACTTTCATAATGGGAAAACCAACGAGACATGTTACAGAAAGATAACTACTGATGTTAAGTTGGATGTGGAAGTTGCCAAATCAATATGTGAGATCATAGCAGTATAGGAATTAGGAGGAGAGTATGATTACAGGGATGGGGGTGGGGTGGGCACAAGAGGTGGGAGGGACTTGAGCTGGGCTAGTAGGAAGGAGAGGATCTAGACAGGGTAGGTTGAGAGAAAATTCCAGGGTGTGAAAGAAAAATGTGAGAGACAGGGACAGGGTATTCAGAGTGTTTCGGGTGCCATGACTATGCCAGTTTGCCCTGGTCAGAGTAGTCATGGGAGATTCTCATGTTCTCAGTATCCTTGGTGATAACTTCTATAATAGGTGTTTCATTTCCATGCCTGTTCATTCCTCAGCTAATCACTCCTCATGCCATCAGAGTTCAGACTCCTCCTCGACACATCCCTGGAGTGGTTGAAGTGACTTTATCTTATAAATCCAAGCAGTTCTGCAAAGGAGCTCCAGGAAGGTTCATTTACACAGGTGAGTGAGAAAATGATTCCAAAGGGGACTGGCCCCTGGTTCACCTTTGGTCTAATTCCAAGTCTCTGTACTTTTTCATTATTCTAAATTTACTAGGTCTTTCTGCTTGTGTGGGAAAACTGGACTGGGTAAAAGGCATTGAATGGGAAAGTATAGACTTGATTCTAAATTTGTATTCTACTTAAGCAGTTTCTGCACAGTCTGGGAGATGGTCATAGCAGCTCATCTCAGGGGTACCTCCTTATACATTTAACTCTGCTGAAACCTTGCTAGGATAGACCTTTATTCAAGCAACCAGACAAAAACATATACAAAGTTGCTGGATATAACTAATTTTCTTTTTTAAATGTTGTTTTATTGCTTAAAATATTACAAAGAGTAGTACATATTGTCTCCTTTTTTCCCCCCTTGACCTTCCCCTGGCCTGACCTACCCTCCAGTGTCTTGTGTCCATTGGTTATGCTTATATGCATGCATACAAGTCCTTTGGTTGATCTCTTACCCGCCCCCCCAACCCTCCCTGGCCTCCCTGCTATAGTCTGACAGTCTGTTCGATGCTGCTAACTATTATTCTCTCGAAAAGGATTCAAGGGAGTTGCCCATTGATGTGATTCAAATTGTTTTAAATTTTATGAAAGTATAAGTTACCTATTATATATCTCAATATTTGTTGAATAATCTACCTTGTATCTACAACCTTTTCTAGGTGTAAGGTACAGGGACATATAATACATGGTCCTTACTATACTGGGAGTTTAGAACTTTTGGAGGAGGCAATGGTACATTACCCAGAACAGCTAGAGAATTAGAATATTCAAAATGCATGGTATTTTCAATGAATGGAATATGAGTTCCAGGAAAAGAAGGTTTAGTGTGGACTAGAGTTAGTGGTATGATATATTAAGGGAGAAATGGACATTTGTAAGGATGGGAGGGTTTAGATAGGCAAAGAGAAGGAAAAATGTTTTAGCTATAGGAAACTCATGTGCAAAGGCCCAGAGGGAGAGGTGAGCAGGTGGCAATATATTTGGGTAGACCTTAGACCAGAACTTAGTTTAGATGACCTACGCACAGGAAGAAGGAAAACCACAAAACAGCTTAAAAACCCTGTATAGTACCAAGAGAATAATCAAATTCATAGAGACAGAAAGCCGAATGATGGTTTTTAGAGGATGAGGGTAGGGAGAATGGGAGTTGTTGTTTAATGGGTACAGAATTTCAGTTTTGCAAGATGAAAAGAGTTCTAAAGATTGGCTGCACAACAAAATGTGAATGTATTTAACACTATTAAATTATATACTTAGAAATGGTTTAAGATAATAAATTTTGTTATATTTTCCCATATAACAAATTCTACCATAATTTGGGGAAA